GCTTATCAGAAATAAGAAACTAAAATCCTACAGAATCTTACCATTATAAGTTATATTAAATAAAATAAAATGCTCCAGTGTGTAGTTTAATCAGCTCAGGAAAACAAAGAATAAAGAAGCTGAGTTAAGCCAACAAGATAACTGCTCCTATAAACTTCCTTTATGTATAATTTAGAAGGTGTATAAAATGAGATCAGTGTTTGTAAATTCCATTTCCAACTGCAGTTTATAAACACCATCACAAACAGACTTTGTTAATGTCTTTGCAAACTGGATTCATAAATGCCAGCTGTTAGTATTGAAACATTGCTGATTGTCTGAATGCAGTTGCAAATGTTAATAAACACAGCTGGAAACCAAAGGCAGACCTTGGAGGCGGGTGTGCTCTGACCCATGAGTTCTGGCCTGAGGCCGCCTTTCCACATCCTTCTCTCAGTTCGCATTCTTCCCGATCCCTGATCTGGCCATGATGACACCTCTTGCACAAAGGCATTAGTCTGATTGTCAGCTAAATTATACACAATCTCCTGAAATGAATTGTTTAGAGAGAGGGATTGAGGCCACTGAAGACCCAATAAAATAGAGCCTTGGCCAAGATTTGGACTGCAAGGGAATTTCTTTATCTTCTCTTTCTTTTTGTTCTGCAAGCCAAAACATGTTTTATTAGAAAGAATGTTAAACTACAATAGATGCTTTCTTAATAAAGCAAAGGGATTTTGTTTGTGGAAAAATACATTATTTTGTTTTTAACAGGATATACATCTAGATGTAGACTTTTAAACCTTCTTTAGGTATGTTTTGTAAATACCACATCCCTTGTAGTATGTTGTATTATGTTGATGTAGGCCACATGTTTCAGTTAAATTAAATTCTGTTTATTTATTTAGTGCCATTTCACAACACATGTCTTTTCAAGCACTTTACAATTCAACCAGATCATACAGTCAAATTTATCCAATGTTTTTTATCGAAGGAAAACCAGTTGATTGCATCGACTCATTGACTGGAATGCAATCCCTCACACCAAGCATGATTGTAGCGACAGTGGAGAGGAAAAAGCCCCTTTAACAGGAAGAAATCTCCAACAGAACCAGGCTCAGTGTGAGCATCCATCTGCCGAGGCTGCCTGGGGCTCAAGGAGACAGAAGCAGACATAGAGAAAGAAGCAGAGATACAAAAGGCAACCAGCTCCACAGATGGCCCCGTCCAGGAAACACACAGCCAGGCAGACGAGCTCTGAGCCAGCCTCAGAACTCAACATGTTTCATTCCAATGATGTTAGCAAAAGGGGGGCTTTTGCAGATCTCCTCAAAGGATACTGTATTTGTCCTTGTTTTTCTAAATGCATTTTTAATTGGGATCAGTGTATTATATGTGTATAATGAGCCAGTGTCTCTCCAAAACAATCTTGATTATTGAATCCTCGGTGTTACAGTACAGTTGTCTTCTGATTACAGTGATAAAAAAAACGTATGAAATGCATACCTTTACCTAATTATGGGTTTCATAATTTTTGCTGTATTTATTATCAAATATATTTTAAATATATTTTTGGGGTATATCAGCATTGGGCTTTTTTAGAAGTATGTACAGTATGTCCAGGGTGCGTTACAGTCAGCTGTAATGCACAGGAGGTTATGGCTTAATGACACCAAAAGAACAATATTACCTGCAAATAGCAAAGAGGAGACCCTGAGATTAGGACATCTTTAAGATCCAAGGAGCAGCTCTGGCAGAGTCTAAATGTACTGGGAAACAAAGAAAAACCAGTCCTCTATAAACTGCTGCATGGTACTAAAGCCTGGATGAGTCGAAACTCCTAAGTTTGAGCCTCATGCTGCGTTCACACCGGACGCAGCTGGCGCGACAGAAGCAGCGAGTTTACATGCAAAGTCAATGGTTGACGCGCGTCAAGGCGCAGCAAAAGGTCCCGCGGCGCGTTTTGAGCAGCAGGCGCAGCGCGTCTGAGCAGCTGAAGCAGCGCGTCGGGCGCGTGTGACGCGCCGCAAACGCGTTGCTGCTCGAGATGGAAAATTTTAATTTTTGCTGCTCGACGCGCCGCGTCAACCAATCAGAGAAGCTGATCTGGGAGCTGGCTGGGAGAGAGACACAGCGCTGATGACACAGACCGCTCTGATCACTCCTCTTAAACAGTTTATTAACGCATAATTAACTTAAAATGCATACATCTGCCGGCAGAATATGTTCGCTTTTATTATTCTGGTGCCTGCAGATCGGATTATTTAGATGAAAAACACCTACCAGCCACCGCGGTAAACCGCGAGGAGGCGACCCTGCCAGAGGCTGCTGTTGAAGGGATTCCTTCTGTCGGCGCACCGCCGGTATGTGGGGGTCTGAGCGGCTCCGACAGAAATAACATTGGGAGGCAGGATTGTAATCTGGATGAACTGACTGCACTGAAGTTTTCATGTGTATTTTCTCACTTAAAAACATATTAAAACTACTTTATTCCCACTGATCACAGCAAATATAGCTGCAAGGCAGAGAAAGGAGAGAGTAGCTCCGCCCAACGCGCGTCAGAGCCACTTTTGCACCGCGCAGCCAGAGCAGCAAAGCTGCTTCAGCCGCGCGTCAGAACTAACTGGTACAAGCAGCAAAAAGGAAGCTGCTTTTGCTGCGTCCGGTCTGAACGTAGCATCAGATTCAACACCTTAGCCTAGAGAGTATTTTCTCACAGAGCTTGTGAACCTATCAAAACCCCCTAATTTGAAGTGATCCTCGCCTATTTTGCATGCCCTAATGAAAAAACAAATAACTTAGGAATAGTAAGCCCAAATTAGGTGGGTGAGTAAAACACAGCCAAAGCTGCATCAGTTTGAACATGACTCAAATTTGTTGTTTTTTTATTCTCGAAAATTGGATTGCCTTTGTTCTACATGATGTCAACCGCAAATGCAGAAACATTTCAGACCTCTACTGTAGCTACAACGGTTCAGAGCTGCGGAACTTTGAACTTTTGATGTCACCAGCACCTTCGAATCTCTCCAAACGTGCCAAAATGTGCATAATGCTTTTACTCAACTATTTGACCCATACAGGTGCTGGTCATAAAATTAGAATATCATGAAAAAGTAGATTGATTTCAGTAATTCCATTTAAAAAGTGAAACTTGTATATTATATTCATACATTACATACAAACTCATATATTTCAGATGTTTATTTTGTTTAATTTTGATGATTACAAATGACAACAAATGAAAATCTCAAATTCATCATATCAGAAAATTAGAATATTACTGAAGACCAATAAAAACAAAGGATTTATAGAAATGTTGGCCAACTGAAAAGTATGAATATGAAAAGTATGAGCATGTACAGCACTCAGTATTTAGTTGGGCCTCCTTTGGCCTGTATTACTGCAGCAATGCGGCGTGGCATGGAGTCGATCAGTCTGTGGCACTGCTCAGGTGTTATGATAGCCCAGGTTGCTCTAATAGTGGCTTTTAGCTCTTCTGAATTGTTGGGTCTGGTGTATTGCATCTTCTTCTTCACAATACCCCATAGATTTTCTATGGGGTTAAGGTCAGGAGAGTTTGCTGGCCAATTAAGAACAGGGATACCATGGTCCTTCAACCAGGTACTGGTAGCTTTGGCACTGTGTGCAGGTGCCAAGTCCTGTTGGAAAATGAAATCTGCATCTCCAAAAAGTTGGTCAGCTGCAGGAAGCATGAAGTGCTCTAAAACTTCCTGGTATGTGGCTGCGTTGACCCTGGACCTCAGAAAACACAATGGACCAACACCAGCAGATGACATGGCACCCCAAACCATCACTGACTGTGGAAACTTTACACTGGACTTCAAGCAACGTGGATGAAGTGCCTCTCTTCTTTTCCTCCAGACTCTGGGACCTTGATTTCCAAAGGAAATGCAAAATTTACTTTCATCAGAGAACATGACTTTGGACCACTCACCAGCAGTCCAGTCCTGTTTCTCTTTAGCCCAGGCAAGACGCTTCTGACGCTGTCTGTGGTTCAAGAGTGGCTTGACACAAGGAATGCGACAGCAGAAACCCATGTCTTTCATACGTCTGTGTGTGGTGGTTCTTGAAGCACTCACTCCAGCTGCAGTCCACTCTTTGTGAATCTCCCCCACATTTTTGAAGGGGTTTTGTTTCACAATCCTCTCCAGGGTGCGGTTATCTCTCTTGCTTGTACACTTTTTTCGACCACATCTTTTCCTTCCCTTCGCCTCTCTATTAATGTGCTTGGACACTGAGCTCTGTGAACAGCCAGCCTCTTTAGCGATGACCTTTTGTGTCTTGCCCTCCTTGTGCAAGGTGTCGATGGTCGTCTTTTGGACAACTGTCAAGTCAGCAGTCTTCCCCATGATTGTGTAGCCTATAGAACTAGACTGAAAGACCATTTAAAGGCTTTTGCAGGTGGTTTGAGTTAATTAGCTGATTAGAGTGTGGCACCAGGGGCCATCAATTTTGAACCTTTTCACAATATTCTAATTTTCTGATATGATGAATTTGAGATTTTCATTTGTTGTCATTTGTAATCATCAAAATTAAACAAAATAAACATCTGAAATATATGAGTTTGTATGTAATGTATGAATATAATATACAAGTTTCACTTTTTAAATGGAATTACTGAAATCAATCTACTTTTTCATGATATTCTAATTTTATGACCAGCACCTGTAGAATAACACTGAAGCATTTTGATGGCCACAAAACATTTATGAAGCAAATATTTTCCACTTTTTTTCAGGATCAGTGTATATAACAAAATGTAAAATTTTAACACCTACAATAACATATATAATAACTAGTCGCCCTTGATGCTTGCAACAAAAATCTGTCCCGGTTTTATAAAAGTTCAGAGGTCTGCACAGGTGTATTCCCAGTGTTCCAGGTAGCTTCTTGTTTCCCAGAAGATTTAAACTAATGAAAAAACAGCCAGTTGCCAGGAAATGTAACATGAATCTGTGTGTGAATATTTATATTTTTATTTATTTTTTATTTTTTTACAGGTATGCAAACCGACGAACCAAAATCAAATCCACTGATTGATTCCAAAAGCACCACTGTCTTCCCCCATCAAAAAAAAGGTATGGGTCCAATCACTTTGGTAGAAGGTGCTTCTCTGTCCACCACATGTTTAAATACATTGTTGTCTGCCTTTTTTAGAAATACCTGGACAAGGACATCTAGCCACAGCACTCATTATCGCCATGTCAACCATTTTCATCATGGCCATCGCCATAGTTCTTATAATAATGTTTTATATCCTGAAGGCAAAGCCGGGTGGCCAAGGTGAGTGGAGCGCAAAAGAAAAAATTGCAGTTTCACTTTGAAGGCTTTTTATTTTATGGCGTTCATTTTCCCTCTGTCTATGTTTATCTGTTCAGCATGTTGTTCTGGCAAAGTTGTGAAAGCCGTGGAGGCCCAAACCATCAAACAGGAAGACAAGAAAGATGTCCCTGGTGAGACACGCTGCACAAATATCCCTATGAATGAAAGGCAGACACTGTTTTTACTAGTTTTAATGTTTTTCCTTTGTCATGATCGGAAGTCTTTAGTTGTAAAAACAACAAAAAAAGTTTGTCTACATAAAAACATGTATTGTGGTAAAAACCTCATCCTGGCTTTGATTACCCTTTGCCATGCTAACCCGAAAAAACCTAGTAATTCTATTACATACAAGTATACATAAATTGAACTTTTTCCACATTTTTGCCCATATGGTCAATTTTGAACTCATTACAGCATCATCTCAAAACCCTTTTAAGTGCTTTGATCTGGCTTTCTCAAATAACCTTTCACTGATTTAACTGACAGAACATTTAGCTGGATTTGTTTTATTTCCTTGTTTTAAATGTGACCACATTTATTTGCTCTGTTTCACTCTTGTAGTTTTATTTTTTTATTTTTGCAGGAGATGAAGTTATGAAAGTTGAACATTTAATGGTCTGCATTGGTGCTTATAGTTAAAACCTATTTCTCCTTAACTAACTAACATCTAAAAGGGAGCATAATAGGATTGGTGCAGTAAGGGGAGTATTTTCATCAAATATAATTGACACTCTTGATTAAGACAATAGGATTGTTAAAAAGTGTGCTGGTATGACACTGTTAAATAGACTTGCTTAAATTTTAGTAAACTATATTGATCAATATCATCATTTAAATGATAGAATTGGTTTATAATCAAGGCATACATTTTTTTTTTTTAAGTCATTGACTAAGAAGTCCAGCTGGGTTTCAAGTATAATTTTAGCATGGGTGCTGTTGTTTAGCTAGATATGGCTTAAAATGTTGCAGCACAAGTTTCAGATCCATTCCCATGAGGTCGTTGTTCCTGCCAACAGTCAAAATAAACCTTTAATAGCCGCCACTCCCTCAAGATTAAAAAGCTTAGCTTGTTAGCATTCTTTACTGTAGCTTTAGAAATATATCTGGATCCATCCTGAACTTTTGCATGAACATGAAAACCTCTTCAACTACAATCATTATCACAGATATTTACTTCTATTTAGATTATATTTTGATTACTAATTCAGCCTATTGAAGCATATTAATGATTGACTCATTGTTAATCTTCTGCCATGTTTGGCTTTGGAATTAGGGCTTTTGCTAAGATAGTTTAACAAAATACAAACCAGGAGTCATGAAATACAAACTCAGACATGGTAACTGGTATAGAGACAGGCTTTGTGTTTCTGTCTATGACTGAGTGGATCTATTTATTAAGAGTAACATAAAGACAGCCTTACTGTTATCTGCTGGACAGTGCATTTGAGGAATGTTTATTAAACGTGACTGAAAAAACATTAAATCAAAATCTGACACCAAGTTAAAGCATTTAACATCATATTTGGTGTCTGATTCAAGTTTGAATCCTTTTAGTGCCTAAAGATTAAGAGTTTCAAAATGCCTTTTTATGGTGCATTTATTGGTTGTTTCTCTCATTGTGTTTGCCAATGCGTGTGTGCCGGTTTGCGCTTTCCTTTTGCATGCGTGCTTGTCTGTGTGTGCTGTAGGCTGACAGACATGTGGGGTGATGAGTGTATCGTGATGGAATGTGAAGTTTCCAAAGCTAAAGCCATATGTTGCTTTAGGCGCCATTTTTTCTCACAATGATGCTCTGTTCAATTTCACTCCCAGATTTACTGACTAACCACCTCAATGTGGTGTGAGGGGAAAACATTTACACACACACATTTTAATTACCCCCACTACAAACTTAATATAACTCAAAAATGAAAGAGCTGAAGGAACACAATGGTGTGGTTAGTTTATCAGCTTTAGAAGGGCTGAATGGTTACATGGTTAGGTAGCATTGCATCGTTGTACATGGCGGTGACTGCATGTGGGAGTGCAGCCTATTTCTGGGAGCTCTACTAGAGCTAGCTGTCACTCATGTAGGCACGGACATAATCAGCCTGTGAGATGAAAGACACAGACACTTAAACTTAAATTACACACACTTACACATACAAACAGAGACCCTTTGTTCCTTCATAGATACCCGCTCATTAGGCTGTCTGTCCCTATCAGTAGCCATGATGTCAGTGCAATTTATCATAATCCTTACTGTAATCATTTTATATGTTTATTCTACTGGCATTATTCAGTGCAAGAAAGGTTAACCCTAAGAAATCTGCTCTTTTTTGTTAGTTGCATGTATTTTAGTTTTGTTTATTTGCTCATTCCCTTATTTTTTTTTTTCCATCTCACAGACAATGTGGTGATCTTCTCGGAGAAGGACGAGTATGACAAGCTGAAAGCGGCTCCTCAGAAGACGGTGAAAAGGTGAGAGAAACATCTAATGTTATGTTAGAGAGATTATTTTTCACCGTCTGTATGAAATTAGGTTATTTTTCTTAATATTTAGCATCTCATTGGGTCAAAACTCAATGAGATGGGTCAAAACGAGTATTTTCATTTGAAATCATATTTTAATTTTTATTTTTTATTCTTTTTTTGACATTGTTTACCATTAAAGCAAACTAAACTGTTGTTTTAAGACAGTTATGAATACCAACATTTCTTCTATTGTCCTCAATGCCATTACAGTTATCCTCTTACAATTATCATGAATATTTAGCAGAATTGTGTCAGTTAAATGTTTTGATCTCCTTCCACAAGCTTTTCCACAATAGTTTGATTGAAATTTAGCCCATTCCTCATAAATAGTAAATGTCCTGTACTGTATATAGCGTTTTTTCAAGTCAGAGGACTTGACCAAAGCGCTTTACACTGCATTCAGTCATTCACCCATTCACGCATACACTCACACACTGACGTTGGCAAGCTGTGCGAGGCTGCCATACACTGGCGCCATCGGGCCCTCATGTCAGAACTGATGTTAACAGGTTTTTCTGGGACTGAGATCAGAGCTTTGTGATGTCAAACCACTGTAAACCACTGCACCAAACATAATGGTATGCTAAGGGTCATTTTACATTTAGGTCATTTTACATTTATGGGATAAATTTCAATCAAACTATTGTGTATGCTAAGGGTCATTTACACATTTAGGGCCCACTTACTGTATGTCCAAGCTTTAACTTAACTGATCTGTTGTCCTGAGATGCTACTTCAATATTTCTACATAATTTACTTTCTCCATGATATCATCTTAGTGCAACAGTCTTTTTTGTCAGCAAAACAAACCCATGCTTCTCAGGGGAGATACTGCTGTCAAGCTTACAGGCTTCCTCTTATTCCCTTCAAATCTAACTTAGTCATTAGTTCCAAACACTTCAGATTTAGTTTAATAAAACCCCAGGATATATTAAAAGGAAATGAAGGTCTGTGTTCCTACATGGTTTAGTACAAACCTAATGAGAGAAAACCTTTATCTACTGTAGTGCTCCATGCTGGAAAGCTAAAAAGCATTTTTTTGGCCTAGTTCTCTCAAATAATCTGCAAGTTTTAGTTATTCTGCTCAGGTATACAGAGCAACGATAAACATGTAGATATCGTCCACGTGGCATCAATTAGCTACTATAATATACTGCTCACCTTGATAAATAGAGCCCTTTTCACACAGTCTGGGCAACCGAAAGGTTTTCCAAACTCTCCATGGCAGTCCCCATTCTTTACTGTTATCACAATACCTCTGAATTCTGCAATATAAAGTAGGTAATTAACAGCAGATTTTTATTGTGCAAACTTCTGACATGACTGATTTGCACGGGAATAAAAACACATACAATCTCCGTAATGATCATAGATTGCATGTGGTCCTTTGGTAAAACTAGAGGGAAAGTGCAGACACAATTTACATTCACTTTAAAAGAAGACTCAAATTATTATGATTTGTCAAAATAAGTTCAAAACTTTAAGTTATTCATTTCTGATTTTTACAAATCTTTGTTTTCACCTTTTAGATACAGATTTACCCAACGAGAACAAAGAAAATGTACATCTAGAGCTTACAGATCACATACAGTACATGCTAAATTTATAATCCTGACACGGGACTAAGCACAAAAGCATAATTTATCCCAACTTGCCCATAATTAAACTGCCAAAAAACAAGCCTTTGCAGCAATTTGGCTGTTGCCCCCCTGGCGTTTCTTCCTGTCTACTGGTAAAGAAGTGAAGTGTGTCGTGAAATAATATCAGTTGACTTTTTTTTAAATTAAGTAATAAAGCAGACAGCTCCATTATGTGGCTTTGGTGCAGGCTATGAGGTAAGACGGCACATTTAAGCCCTGAAGCATAAAAAAGCTGAGAAAGAGGGGTAGCTGCCAGGGTGCATAGGGGTATTTATTCCAAGCTTCACATAAAACCACCATCAGGTGAAAGCATGTCTTGCAGACAACAAAAGAGTGATGGTTTTCTTACCTTCTCTACACATCCATCAAACCCTCATTTTTAGGACAATGCTGCTTTATAGGCGCTGAAAGTGAATGCGCAGAGAGGATGGTGAACATCTGGAGACCTTTTATGTCTGCATAGCAATATGTTTCATTATGCAAATGCTTTTAGGATGAATGCTTTAAAATGTGATTAATTGAAGATGATGCACACACACATCTTAGCTTTTTCATCAACAGCAAGCAATAGTGCTGTAAACCAGCATGCCAGAGGATATGTTAACTCACCACATTAGTTGCCAGAGAGGGTGTTAGATATCTGAGAAACAATGGCATTTTGTGTGGATGTGTGTTTGGGAAGAAAGAGCCTTGGACATGGAAACAATAGCATCCAGTGTGCATCGCTGTCAACAAGGTGCTTTTACAAGAAAATCCAGAGTAGGCAGAAAGAGATAGAGGATTGTTGGTAAAATTATAACATATGGGGTTGTGTTGTACAAGGAAAGGTTTTTAAGCAGCTTAATTTTTTTTTAAAACATCATCCTCTCATATTTGTTCTTAGAATGGGTTTTACAGATGTGTTGTAAAAGTTGAAGAGCCACATTCAAGGCCAAGTTCAGATTTTTGAGAAGTTCAAGTTTGCTACAGTATTGATTCTGGTTTATTAGTAAGTTTTAATAATAAAGAATGTTAAGTGGAAAGAATGTTTCTACTTATTGAATAAATTAAAAACTGAACATAAAACCAAGGAAAATAATTACTCCTTTCAGACGGTAAATCATTTATTTATTCAAATAAAGGAGTTTATTAATCAACTGTTGTATCGCTACCAATCATTATTCATGTTAGCATATAGGATGTCACACTGTGTGAATTTTGAGTTATTATACAGTTGTTATACAGTTTGCAGCTAAATAGATTTTTACTAATATTTCCAAACAAAAACAAAAGTATAACAGATTTGATATTTTTTAACTGTCTTTAGCATCATAAATCTGTCTTTACAAGACTGAGTAGCCCTACTAACATCACTAACTGTAAACGTTTTCTGTGTACAATTCTGCTTTATTGTGGAACTTCCAAAATGTACCAATATTTCTAAGTTATCGATGGACTCAAGGTTCAAATTAATGCATTGCTGTGATACTTTTAGCCGTTCTGTTCTCAGCTGTAGTCTCTATTTCAATAAAAGAGGAGTCCTCCAGAGAAAATAACAGTTTGTGTTCAAGAAGCTTCCTATGCTTTTGTGCTTTTCCTTTTCCAACATCAGAGCAATGCTTAGATAACCTCTGCTATAGTATAATGTCCAAACTAGAGTGTTGTTATTTGCTAAACCTGTTAGCGCCTGTATTTTTTTTCTCCCAAGTCGATCTCTTGCTGCATTTTTAGGTCAAATGTAAAAACCACATAAAACATCTACCTGCTATTCAAATATTTTCTTATTACAAACAATTTAATTTAATTTATCCTAAACTAAGGCAACAGCAATTTACTCTTATTCTATATCTAAAGATGAATATAAGACCGATTTGTGTGTTTTCTGTTTGTGTAGTGAGAATGATGCATCGTCAGAGAATGAGCAGCTGTTGAGTCGCAGCATCGACAGTGACGAGGAAGCATCAGACAAGCAAGGATCGGTCGAGAGCACGTCCCCCAACCCCAGCTGTTGCCTGGTGGACCTGGGCAACAAATCTGACCTCTCCCTGCTCTCTCTGGGACTCTTGGACCGCGGCCGCACATCCAATGGTGCCCCGGTGGTCGCAGCCAGCCACGCCATCAACATCCAGAGTCCCAGCTACATCAACAGTGTCAACCACGTTGCTTCCAGCAACCACATCAGCAGCATGAACGGGATCAACAATAATAAAACCCCAGGGGTAGGAAGACAGAGCTTTCTAAAGACTGTACTAAAGTCAGAATATGATTATGAACAGATTTACAACTGAGGATCCTTTCTTAATCTCATAAAGATGTTTTTTATTTCTTGAATCCTACACAGATGCTACAGAGTCGAAGAAAAAAGATATTAGAGTTGTATGCTAGAGCCTGCCATGTGACTGAAGGTAAGATATCTAAGTCTTGTAACTAAAACTTGCATTGCTTAAGTAAAATGTTTAATACCATTTTAATTTACTCAAATTTGAGTCAAGTTACAGCCTCTTTCTTCACAAAAACCTTTTGGTAAAACTCCACAACTCATTACCTCTGTCATCTCCTCAGGACTGAGCCCTACAGAGCTTCCTTTTGACTGCCTAGAGAAGGCCAGTCGCATGCTGAGCTCCTCCTACAGCAGTGAGGCGGCCGTGGTTAAGACATGGAGGCACCTGGCAGAGAGTTTTGGCCTGAAGCGTGATGAGATCGGCGGCATGAGTGATGGCCTACAGCTTTTTGAAAGAGTGAGCACGGCTGGCTACAGTATCCCTGACCTCCTCACTCGGCTGGTGCAGATCGAGAGGCTGGACGCTGTGGAGTCGCTCTGCGTGGACGTGCTTGGAACCAGCGAGGTGGTGGCAGTCGCTGGACGACAAAGTATCAACAGCTTCCACAGCCAGTTGGTGTGTTCTTCCCAGTGCATTTCTCCCTCCCAGCGCTGTGCCAGTGTCTAAAGATTTGGTGCAGCAAAGACTTGAGACAGGGGGATCTTTAAGTACACATTTATGTAAGGACAGAGTTGTCACTGACTCGGAGGACACTGCATATGAGTGTACATTTTACCCCCATCACATGAAGAATGCCTGTGGGCGTCTTGTCCACATTCCTTAATTTTTAAAAAGCTAAGAGTCCAAATAACATGAAATAAATGTTTGTATTTTATATTTTTGTTGGAAAGTATGAGGGAGTACCTATCAATATAATCTATTGATTAGTACAAAAATGTCTCCAATTTCCATTTGGTTCTGCTCTGCAAGAATTTAATGATCAAACTCAATTTCTGTCTTTATGATTTACCTTGATGTGTTCCTTGAAATAGGTGAAAGCCTCTGCGCCGGACGCACCTTGACATACTATTTCTTTCCATCCATCCATCCATCCATCCATCCATCCATCCATCCATCCATCCATCCATCCATCCATCCATCCATCCATCCATCCATCCATCCATCCATCCATCCATCCATCCATCCATCCATCCATCCATCCATCCATCCATCCATCCATCTCTTTACACCTGTAGATTTATAATGGGATTTAGGTCAGGCCAGTTTGCTGGTCAGCCAAGCACAGTGCTACAGTTTAAGCAGTTGTTGGTACTTTTGGCAGTGTGGGCAGTTGCCAAGTCCTGCTAGATATTCAAATTCAACATTTCCACAAAGATCATCAGCAGGGAAACAAAAACATACTCTACCATTTTCTTGAGGATAAATATATATTTGGACTCAAGAAAATGCTGTCAACACCAGCAAAAAAGGGTGCTTTGCAGATCACCAGTGACTTGCAGTTTGGATTCTGTGTTTCTTTTCTCCTTCTCCAGACTATCCAAAAATTAATTTAGATAAAAAGAATATGAAAAGACACAGTAACAGTCTTGTCATTTTTTTTCCTAAACCCGGAAAGGTCAATTCAAAGACGATCATTGTCTTAACAATACTGTATTTACTTCTGTTGGTCGATCTTTTGCCTAAACTACACTTTTTCCTGACAGTCAACTTTCCTGCATCAGGCTTTGTTACTACGTTATGAGAACAGACTCCTTCGTTACCAATGACTGATCATCAAACCTCAACTTAATGAGAGATTTTACTTTCTTTTAACCTCTTAATATCCACCTCATTTTTGGGAATTGCGCCTAATTTGCATTCCCAAATGGAAAAGCTAATAACTGAGGAACTGTAAGCCCAAATTACATGTGCGATATGTTATTTGAAGGCTAAAACCTTCTAGTGTCTGAATATACTGTATACATGAAAATTGGGTGAGTTAAACACCCAAGCTGCAATAAACCCAAGCTGCATCAGTTAAATTCAAGTTCAGTGAACTAGGTGGTTGAATTGTTGATAATCTAAGCTTTCCAACAATGTCTGACATGTCTATATTGGTAAAAATTTTACCTGTGTAATTTTCATGCATTCTGAGTTATTATTTTTAAACGTTTTAAAACGGGTCACCGTTTGAGAGGATAATATAAGCCATACTCACAATTTACACAAACTCTTGAAATATAACACTTATGAAACTGGAAAATACATGGGTTTTAGTTCTGAACTTGAATTGCTAAGTCTTAGAACATTTTTATGATGTTCAAATTTAATTGTCAGTTAACATTGAGGTACTCATTATTTTTCTTTTCACCTAGTTCTCCTCCAGCCAGTAATGGGTTATTTTTTATGCTATTTTGATTTTATGAGTGATTTTGGGACCGGGCCGTAGTTGTACTGTTTTTGAACTTGTGGATTTCTTCCCAGACCATAAGCTGCATCCAGCAGTTTATGTAACTTGATGCTTTTGTCTGCATAATGAAAGCGACCTAGTTTGACCACAGTGTTAGTTAGCATTCATAACTGCTCCATTGACCGTACTTTCATCGCATAAGGAGGTCAGATCATATGACTTCCTTTCTTAGGACACAATATCAGGGCCAGATGGAAACACTTAAGCATCACTCAGCTCAAAATTTGCTCAATAGTGTCATTCGAGGCATGTGTTGATGCCAGTGGTGTCTGTTGAATTTGTTTTTACACACACACAAAAAAAAAACATCAACAACCTGGTGAGATATTTTCAGCTTTATGACCTTGCAAGTAGTTTGAGATGATGTTTATGTCAAAACAACAACTGTGGATTTTGCCTCTGATTAAAATACAATATGTGTGGTAAGTTTGGAGGCGCTGATGACACGCAGATGTAGCAAATGGAAAAGTCAAACCACCGTCCTCACAACAAAATGCCAAAAAACTCAAATGTACATTCATTTTAGGTAGAGCTTAATGCTCAAGTAACCTTGATGAACACAGCATTTTTGCATGAGACCACATGTCCCCAAAACACAGTCCACGGTCTTGAAACGCATACAAACTTGCAGCAGTTATTTCCTCAACAGTGTCCCGAGCTGTAAGTTTCCACCCCCCACCAACACCACCCCCAGTGCAACTGCCTGTAAGTCCACTTATAGCCCAATCTTGTGGTCTAGCATTGCCGCCATTCCTAATTATTTGGCGTGTGGCTTCCCATGCCCCTAATAAGCTGAAGTGTTGCGGTTTACAGAGCGGGTGAAAAGTGCCTGTGATTTCCAGCACCTAATTAAGCATTTAGGGCCACTTAACTGCTGAAACACCCTGGAGATTAGCTATAAAAATCTTGCAAAGCAATGCCAGGACAGGAATGACTTGAATGGCCTCACTGCCCCCAGGGTTCTAGCGTTCAGATCCTTCTGAAGGAGGTAGCTCTACATTTGTCTTTGACTGCCTGCTCTTATTCAGCTTATGGGGCTGGCGTAGTCATGCTGAGACAGGATTCTCTCTCCCCTTGCCCCTATGGGACCAATAGACTAAACAAGAACAATATGCAGTTGTGTGAGTTCTGAGAAGCAGATGAAGATGGTTAGGTGTTGCGTGCACCGTCCAGAAACTGTGCTTTTGATAAACATCATACCAGACTCAGGCCAGACTTCAGTTGTCTTTGAAACACCTAACAGGCAAAGTGTCCACCGGTTGGGAAGTCGTAAATTATGTCTTCTAATTTATTCAGAAATTTTGTGTCAGAAATCCAGCGAAAAGCTCCAAAGTCCAAGCTAAACATTTCTTTGATCTCTTTGTGGAATGGTGCTGATCTTAATCTGATCCCTGTTGCGCCCACATAACACCCCCATTACTCTTCTGAACAGAGGTTTCCAATATTTCAAATCCTTTCAGGCTACATCTTATAATACAACCTGGGGCTGGACTCCTGTACTTACATATGAATGCACATAATCGTTAAATATGTTGTCTTTTTGTAGTGATCTAAAGCTCCAGATTACATATTCTATTCCTTCAGGACAGCATTTTGGTGGAAAACCGATAATCTTTTATTATTTTGTAATCCTTTTTTCGAAAGCAATACCTGTTAGTTTATTCTCATAAATTTTGCCTCACATATTTTATTCTGATATATTATAAAGAAGCCATTCCTGAATATCTTACCTCAGTAGCACATAAAGTATAATACAATGTATAGAAACACAATCTTGTCACAGAATCAAATTGTAACTGTGTATATATAAATTATTATTGTACATAAAGCATACCTTAATAAAGATGTATGGTGGAATATGTATTGTTTCCTTCTTTGTCTTTTTTGTAATATACTGTATCATTAATTGCTGCTTTCTGGAAAGATTTTTAAGCCAAACACAGAAGCACTGACCCAAAGGGGCTTTCTATGTGAGATTACCAACAGTTAATGCTTAGAAGAACTCAGTCTGTAGTTGTTGTTTGTTTTCTGGAAATATGTTTGCTCTGGAAAAAAAGCTAAAAATGGAAGCAATATGCAAGGGATATTTCCAATATAAAAGAAAGAGTAAAAAGTTGGAATATATGAGAAGCAGCTCCATCAAGTGCTTTATCCCAAAAAAAAAGAGCCACAGTTAAACACGAAGGCAAAAGAAAAATTCAAACTGTGTCGGTGCTATCTGAAAGGATTATAAAAAAATCAATGCACACATGCTTAATAGCAGAGGGAGCTCCAACAATGACTTTGCTTAGGAAAATAAAGTAAACACAGAAGGAATAAACCAGAGGAGCTTTATAAGCGGAAAAAACTGTGTACAACTAATTTATGGCCGCAGCAGTTCATTATTGATGCAGCTGAACACAGAATAACTGTGTAATGAGTACTTTCACTAAAAATAAACAGGATGACATCAGTAAATCAATTCATTTTATTGTGAAACTAATGTCAGTACATCTTGTCACCTGTGTAAAATGAGGATTAATTTGGGTCATAATTTTTTTTTAACTTAGTACTTGATTTGAGTCATCCAGTAAATAAACTCTAAAATAGAGACATTTATATTCTTACTGCAGTTTTTCTTAAATTGGTTTACCTTTTATACATTTCTCTCATTATTCTAAAAAGCAAACGTTTGGATTATATTAATTAATTATTTGCTAGCAAGATGTAATAAAACAGCAACACATGCATATTTTTTAATGGTATAGGCATTCAATTGCAGATCTTACTTCACAGACATTTTTCTACCTTTACTGTTAGTAAGGAAAGTAGTAAAGGCTAGATACTCTACTTATTCATACATTTAATTAAAGGGTTATGAATGTGACATTTTAACTTTTATAGTTTATCAATTAAAGATGACCTCATAATGAAAATGGTGTAGGGGAAAATTAGAATACAATTTATCTACCCATTATACTTTCCTTCAAACACAGTGACTGACTTGCTACTACATAACATCTTTATTTAATCGACTTAATTGCAAAAAGAATCCGTTACAATTGATTCAAAGGTGTACGACTTACTGTTTCAAAGTAATAAAAAATACAAATCCCTCTGATTCTGAGAGACATTTCTCCCGCCCTCAGTAATCTCTTTGTCAAAGACTCATCCAATGGCAGAGATCACCTTTTTAATCCATCTTTTATGCTCTGCAGGGTGTGTGCTGTAGTTGTGCCAGAATTCCCAAAGCATTAGCTAAACAATGAAGTGTGTGAGCAGTAGCTGGGGATCGTAAGGTTACTTCAGAAAAGCTCTCTCTGCTAATCAAAACAATCGCTGATGCTGCTGTGAGGCATTGAATCAGCATAATGATCATCAAATTTCAAACACTCCGGATTGCCCACAAGTAGCTGTTCTCTTTGAACTTGCTTGTCAGTCTTGGCAAACACACACACAAAGCAAAATTACACATCTTCAGGGTCTCCTTTTTGCTTCCTGAGAATCTGGCATGTTTTTTCTTCTTTTTCTTTTCTTTTACACAATTAGGATGGAGTTACATTCTCCTTTAGGCAAAGAACACCAAACTGGAAAATGATAATTGCCACCGGTCTGTAACTCCTATGAAAAAGACAAAATGAAAAAAAGGAGGAAAAATGTGATTCATATAGGAGCCAGTCACTTAAAACACATATATATGTTTAGTTGGCGATAATACAGCTGTGTAAGATTGTTAATAACTTCACTTATCAAATCAGGAAAGAATTGCACCCATTTCCATATTCTAATTACTCCAAGGAAAATGATTGAAATTATACTTTAAAAGATCATATGCTTATTAGTTATGCTTTAAAGAAAAACATCTGCTTCTTTAAATTATGTGACAAAATGTATTTATTTGTTAGCTGAATACCGATCAGTTGAACACTACTTTGTGTTGGTATATTATATAAA